GAGCTCCTCTTGGGCCCAAAAGTCGATCCAGAAATACAGGCAGAAAGGATACGAGGCCCATTCCAGGCAGAGAAGCAACAGCAAAGGTCAGGAGGCTGGGACCCCTGGTGACTGTTCCCAGTACACGTGAACAGCTACGATCCTAATTCTGGGATCAGGACCAAGTCTGTCTGCCTACAGCACACCGGTAACCCTCCCACTTCTGGGACCTGGAGGTGCCAGCACCCCTGCCTGTCTGCCTGGCTGGCCCCAGCTCTATGGCCCCAAGCACCTTTTTAGGGTCCATGTTGAACTTCTTTCTGCCCATTGCCATCTTCCGGTTCCGCTGCAAGGTCTTACTGTAGGGACAGAGCAGAGTGGGACTCAGGGGGACAGGTCAGTGCTTGGGCATCCCTGGCCCTGCCTGGACCCCATACCCCCCAAGATTCCCCCCAGCCCTCACCTGCCCTCATTGGCCTCCAGACCCTCCACCTCGCTCATGGCTTCGCTGAGCTCCTCCCGCAGGCGCTGGATCTCCACTAGCAGCTCCTGCTTCCGCCGCCGGATGTTCTCCAGCTCCATCCGCTCCTCCGGGGTTAGGTCTGGGGGTTCTGGGGGCAGAGCTCAGAGTCTAAGTCAGATCTGGGGACAAGGAACCTAGATTCCTACAATCTACAGGAGGATGAGGCTGGGAGAGGAGGATGATGGGGGTTCCCATGTTTGACTGAAGAAGGGGCTGGGAGCTAGATTCTTCAGTCCAGGGGAGGAAGGGCTGGCTAAAGCTTTTTTTTTTTTTTTTTTTGAGAGGTTTTTGCTACAGGGTGCATATGCTCGCCAGAAAGAGAGAAACAGAGAAACAGAAAGCGAGAAAGGGGGGATGGCCATGCTGCAATCCCTTCTCTTCTCAGGATCTTGGGCATGCACGCACACGCCCCCGGCGTGAGTTTAAGCCACCGGGTCCAGGACTTGAAACGCGGTCGACTACATGGGAGTTCAGCGACATAGCCATTACGCTAACTGCTGGTCGCCTAGATCTGGAGTTTTGAGTCCTAAGGGAGGAAGGGATTTGGGACCCAGACTCCTGAGTCTGAGCATAGAGATTGGATTCCTGAGCTTTTCCATCTGGATAAAGAAAGGGCTGAGCGCCTAAACTTCTGGGTCCATTACTTGGAAGGGGGTTGTGGTCTTCGTTTTCTGACTCCATTTCTGGTGAGGCAGCCGGGGGTCGGGCTCCTGAGTCCATGAAAAGTAACTACAGCAGGGGGAGGCTGATGACAACTCCTAAGAGTTGGGACGAGGGGGCGGGACATCCAAGGCCCCGCCTCAGCCAGATCTTCCTATACTCCATTTCGCCCCCTCCCGCCGCCACCGGAAACAGGCTCGGCCCAAACAATGGCCTGGAACGCCCCGCTCTCGGGGCCTGCCGGAAGCCCGTCCTGCGCCCCACAAAAGCTAGACGACGAAGGGGCCGAAAGCCTCCGCGCGGCGAATCGGAAGGGGACGTTCGCAGCGGAACGTTCGGAGCAAACGCTCTATCCGCTCCCAGCCGGCCCCGCCCCTCCGCACTTACCATAGACACCGTCCTCCATGGCGGCTAGGAAGGCCCGCGGGGAGTCCGGGGCAGTTCCGCCGGTCGGGCCTGGATCCGCGTTGGCCCGCGGGCTCGGGTGAGCCCGCTCAAACGCCCCGGGAGCCACCGCCGCCTCCTCAGCGCCAGTCGTCAGCGCTGAAAAGACTCTCCCTTCGTCGTCCAGCCGCCCCGCCAATAGGCACCGCCCCTCGTTTTGACACCGCCCAATCCACGATGGGACCCCTCGTAGGCACCATCCCCGACACCACAGGATCGTCCTCCAGAGCCAATAGGCGCACAAGAAGCAGATGTAGCAATGTCCGGTCGAAGGTAGACAGCCTGTGTCACCAATCGGAGTGCGGGATGGGCACCGTGCCCCGCCCCTGAGACAAAAGAAATCACTTGCCAGGCTTTGCCCGCCAATGAGAAGCCTCCAAAAGGCGTTGCAGGGAGGTGGGCCTATGCGGAACAGAAAGGACTGCGCCTGCGCAAGGGCTCTGCGTCGTAGAGGACTTGGTCGACCGAGCCCTTTTAGTAATGCGTTGCTAGGGGGTGGTACTTTGTTAGCCTGTTGCCAGGGGGCGGGTCACGGTTGTTTCCGTGAACCACACCTCCTCGCGGGCCACGTTAGCTTTGACCGCAGTGGTTGCCACGCAACCGGGAACAGCTTTGGCTAGCCCTTCTTTTGCCTTCCTTCTCCCGGTACTTTCTCCTTCCAGGCCGCTCCAATCTCCCCACCCGTTTCTTCCCGCCTCCCATCTACCCCGGCCTCTTCAGAGTCGGAGTGCTGAAACGAAAGGCATCTTCCAAATGCTGTACTCTTTGATATCTGCTATTGCTCCACCCAAACGCCTCCTTATCTTAGCATCTTCCTCCCTGACCCCTCCCTTCCCCAGGCGTCCTCCACCTCTGTCATTTCTTCCTCCCCTCTCAGAGGCCTTTCTGTCCTCCGTGGCTCCCCTCACCTCGGTCCCCAGCTCCTCTCATACTCGCCCTTCTTACACTCCGCTCACCCGTCAGAGTCCTTCCACATCTGAGGCCCCATCCCTTCCCCAGCCTGTCATTCCCATTCCGGGCAGGCAAAACAGGTGCAGGGGCCTGGCCAGAATGGGGAACGGGGCACCCTTTAGGGAGACAGCCTGGGGCCCAGCAGGTGGCGTGATGGTTAAGGCGCTGGACACTACTACATGGCTGACCACGGTTCGAGTCCTGGACCTGGTGGTTTGCTTTCTCACCTTCCTGCTCACTCTCTGGTCAAATTGAATAAATAAAAGTTAAATAAATAATTCTTTTTTAAAGGGGGGGGGCAGGCTTATTGTGGGGGCTGAAGCGTCTGGGCTTCGTCCTCATTCGTTGTCCCTGGGCTGGGCAGGTGGGGACGGATTCAGGGCCAATACCTGTTTAAGCTATCGGATTAGACACGGAGCCTCCTAAGCCCCTCACTGACCTTTATGAGTGGCCCACATCCTGCCCTGGAGGGTGGAGACCCAGACTGAGCCAGCCCTGCCCCCACTCTCTCCTTCCAGCAGAGCCCCCTCCCTGCCATTTATCCCCAATTTAACATCTTTCCACACCTCTATTTCTATCGTCCCCATCCCTACCCTAGACATATTGGACTGGGAGAGCAGCCAGCTAATTAATCCCATCCGGTTATTATATGGGGATTCTGAAGGATAAAAGAAGGGGAAGCCAGAAGGGGGGACTGGGCTGATGCAGCACTTGAGCAGGCTGATGGGCAATGACACTGCCTGCCCTCAGCCCAGAACACGGGTGGGAACATCTCCTCCTCCCTGGCACTGGCTCCCGCTGCGGCTGGCCCCCAGCCTGCTGGGCACTTAGGAAGATGGCAACATGGGCAGGGGCCAGACCCAAGGACCCACGCCCCAGAAACAGTCACAGACATGCTCACCAGGGCTCTCAGTTCTTTAATCTAGGGGACAGAGTTCCCCCTAAAGCCCCCACTTTCCCCACAGTGGGAAGAGTCCCTGGTATTCAGAGCTATTTCCTCCTTTCCCAGCTCCCAAGCTGGACCAAGGAGAAGACTGGCCCTTAGCCATAGCCCACACCACCCTTGCCCGTCCTGTGATTCAGACACCAAATTCAGAGCCAGCCTCCAAGGGCATCTTCCATTCCAGCTACCTTTGGAAGCACCAGGGAGAGGTGAGAAATCACAGGATCTGCACCTCACGCCACCCTCAATGAGGGGAGGAGCCGCCCTGCTGGAAAGGTCGCTGGAACTTGGAGTTCTTCTTTACAGATGGAGAAACTGAGGCAAAGAGGGGGAGTGATTTGCCCAAAGTCACAGAGTAAGTTGTGGCAGAGATGGGATTTGGAGCAAGGCTTCCTGGGTCTTTGGAAAGGACTTCATCCTAACTAGTTCGAGTTCAGTTTCTAACTGCTGTAGGAAGCAGGAGAGAAAAATAGATACATATCTGTATTTATATTTTACATACATACATATATATAATACACAGATGTACGCCATCTTTAAGAAACAGCACACATCACTAGGTGTAGATTCCAGAGCACTCTGGACGCGTAGCCGTGGCTCCCTCCTGGTCTGGTGCTCTACGTAGCCCTCTAACCTGAAGGGTCTCACCTCTAGGTCAGCCCAGAAACACTTTCTCAAGCCCTGAACTCCCCTCCTAGAATTCCGGGAGTGTTCCCCCTGGTGGTAATTAGATCTTCTAGGCTTTGGTAATGGATAACTCTGGATCCCTGGAGCCTTGATTCCTTTTGGCATTACAGAATTACATGAAGTCATCCGGAATCGCAGATTCTGCTCTCCATTGGGTAGGCTGGGACCAGCAAATCTCAGACATCTAGAACTGCCATGCCTCCTGGACTGTGACCCATCTAGAGTCACAAGATCCCGATTTTTATGGACATACTACAATGGCACTTTTTTAGAAAAACAACCATCCTGTGGGTCATTTAGAAGTGATGCTTATGGGGCCGGCAGGTGGCATGGTGGCTAAGGGTGCTGGACTCCCACATGAGTCCCTGGACCTGGCGGCTTGCTTTCTCACTCACGCCACCCCC